TTAGATAACTAAACTGATATAACATTAAATGTCACTAGATATCCCATTCACATATCTTCAATCATGTTAGTAACATTTTTTAATCGGAAATGACGTTTTTATAGATAAAAAATTAGCGGCATATTCAAATATAATAATGCAAAAAGATAAAATTTGTATAGAATTAACATTCAACAAAGTTTTAAGTTACAGTAAAAAAAAAAAAGTGAAAGATTTTTGGAAATTTATAGAAGAAACAAAACCTTTTGAACCTTTTAAAATAATATTAGGTAAAATAATCATTTTTCATTTCTTTCATAAATTAATTTATAAGATATAAATAATAATAAAGATATTAAGAATATAATGAATTAAATATGATAAGGAAGTACAAATTATATTGAATCATTTCAATTTTTCTATATATATAAAAACCAAACATAAATATGAAAAATAATATGAAAAAATTTTATAATATAAAAATTTACAGATAAAGAGTTGTCAATAAAAAAAGAACATGAAAATTCAAGGGAACAGGAAAGAAAATGGTACAATCAATTAAAATTATTTAAGGAACATAGATTAGATAAAATAGCACTTGCAGCAGGTGAACGATGTAAATTTTGTTATGACCATGCTAAATACACGTAAGTATAAATGCTGAAGGACTGATTATAGATCAAAGATTATTACCTTATTTTTTTCAAATAGAAGTCCAGAAATGTGTGATATAGTGGAAGAATCATATGATGAATTATTAAATGATATGAAAGCTTTTGATAATAAATCAAATAATGACAAATAAAAAATTCAAAATTAATGTTGAAGAAATTTTCCAAATTAATCATCCAACATATTAATTTACAATTATAATTTCATTAATCATTAGAGTCATTATTTTTGTAATATTTATAATATTGTAATATTGACATTTTAATAAGAAGAAAATTAAATTTTCAAATATATAAAATATATAAATATATAATAAAGAAACAATGTTTTTCTTAATAATCTAAATTGATTAGATTGTCACAAACAATATCTATGAATACATAAATTACAGAGAATTTAGTTGAAATTATCAATAATATATTCGATATAAAGTAAACTTTGTTCATGTTTAACTATCCGATAGAATTAGAAATTAGAACAAGATAAAATAAATATATATATATATATATATATAAGTATAATATATAAGCAAGATATTATACACTGGCCGAGGTTCCGAGCAGTATCGAATTTCTGTGGTGCAGGAGGTCGACGTGGTTCGAGTAAGGTGTTCTGCTACGGGAGCCATGAATGGGCTCGAGGATGTTGAATCCTTGCACATCTGGCCCTTCGAGTCTCTCGCGTTACCTTCTTATTGTCAGTCGTGAATCCAAAAATTTATACTGGATGACCGTTCACTGTCAGATTGATAAACATAAACGAAAGAATTTTTCATATGCGTTATAATCATGTTATAATAATGCACAAATTATGTGAACAATATTTATTTAATTAGCCATTTCAATGTTATTTAAATTAATTATGGATTTTTATACGTATTTATTTGAACTATTTTAGAAAAGAAAAAGAATTTAAGATTAGAAATGAAAAAGGGAGATATAACGCAGAAAAATAAATGTATGATTTTTTTTCTAAATGTATCATAATTAGTAAATACTAAAAAAAATTAAAAGAATAAAAAATTAAATGAGTAAATATACTGATAATTAAAAATAATAAAGTTTTATATTCGCAAACCTTAAAAAAATAATGAAGTAGCATATGCGTAACTATTTTTGAAAATAATGTGTTAACAATGAATAGCAAATGTTATTTTTATCGGCAGATTTATTTTATTTGTTTAAATAAGGTTTCATACTGTATACCGTTACATCCAAAATGAAATTATAACCAAAATTAAGAGAATCTCGTTGCGGCATTTTCATTTTCATATTGTTATTCGAACTGTATCGTAATGTTCACATAATAATCAAAATACAATCATAATTAATTTACATTTATATATGATACGATTTGTGTATTATGTTTTTGCATAAAATAGCATTGTTCGATCCAGTATAGTCAGTCTAATAAACATGCAATAATAACGTAGTTTATTCGATCGAATAACAGTGATCTCTTCATTTTACTTAACTAATAATAGAAGTTACAAGTCAATTAATTTTGTAATGAAATAATTCAATCATTATATATATTTGTATAATGAATAGCAATTTTTTTATCTTTCTATTGTTTCTTGTCTTTTATCAATCTTTTTTTTTTTATTTATTCTCATTTATTATTATAATAAATTATATATTATTATAATTTTTACATAAATTTATTTACTTCAAAATTTATATTTTAAATAAGTTAATATATTGAAATAATTAGAAATGAAAAATTATAAAAATTAAAAGATTATTTTTACTCTTTGTAAATTAAATTAAAAATATTATAATGATCGAAAATAGAAGATATTTTAAAGTAATAAAAACGAAATACGAGGCAATCATAACTAAATCATTTTTTTTTTGAGAGAGATAAAGCTGAATAAAATTTATAGTACTAAATAAATTACTAATGAATAAAATATTAATAACAATAGGATTATTAAGAAATTAATCTTAATCTTAATTTTAAATGCAAACTACAAAACAAATATCTTATGAAAAGTATTGAAATTAAATAAATGCAAAGCAGTGAAATAATTTAAATAAGGAAAAACGACGGAAACGAAATAAGAAGAAAAGATAGATAAGACGAAAAAAAGCATTGGCTCAACAAACAACAAAAGATAATATAATAAACAGATAAAAAGAGATCAAAAAATAGAAGTTATCGACGAGGTATTTTACTATCCAGACATTGGCGTGCATTATTTTCATTGAGCGCACACGAAGAGACAATGAGCGTAAAAATAGAGGAGAACCACGGTAGAACTCGCCCTCTGGGGACAAAAGAGAGTGGCACCGTGGGGAACCCTACCTCTTCGTGAGGAGAGACTCATGGAGGGGGCCCACGTTGACGGAGATTCGACGAAGCAGAGATGTTTAATCGGTGTTAGCCCGCATCAGGTTGATCGAGGACCCCCCAGCCTGGCTGTTGGACGACGACGACGACGATGATGATGACGATGGAGGACGAGAACCAGGACGAGGACGAGGACGACGAGGACGAGGACGTGGGCTTTCGATTACGGGGTAAAGGGAGGGACAAGGAGGAACAAGAATGGGGGAAGGATAGGGGGGCGTAAGCGGAACCAGGGTGGGTAACAGGGGAGAGAGAGGCTGCGCCGTGCCGATGAAGCGAACAATGGAGGCGGGATGCTCATTTGTCTGCGGGCATTGTTGTTCACCCGGCCGGAAACACGAGCTCCGTGATCTCCTTTCTCTCTCTTTCTCTCTCTCATCGACTCCCTCCCTACTCCTTCTCTTTGTCACTCCCCCTTTCACGAATCGTTTCATTCTAACTCGCCCTCTTCCTCCTTAACGATAGACAGATTTTCCGATCATTCGCAAATAGTACGATGCTATCAATGATATTTAGGATGCAGATATCATGATAGGTTTTGTTGAAATAATTTTTTTTTTATCTGATTGACGAAGAAATATAATGATTTACATTATTATATTACATTACAATATTAGAAGAAGAGTTATTCAATTTTTGGAAATAAGATAAGAAGATTTGAATTTAATTTTAATATAAAAAAGTTTATCTTTTCTTTTAGAAATCTTCTTTATAAAAACATGGAAGATTCTTCGATAAATGATCGACAAAGCAAAAGTCAATTTTCTAAATTCAACGTCACAAATCATTTATCGTATCGATTAAAAAAAAGAGAGCCTATCTTCAATCGCATCGATTTAGTGAACCACTCTATATCATCCAGTACGTATTCAAAATCCATCGACGTCTTCCCGAGCGTGCCACTTCGAAGAAATCCAAAAAACCGGCGACGCGATCGAGGGGAGCGTTGTGTTCGAGAGGAGCGTTTGTAGTTTACATCGGCTGCCCACCGATGCGGAGACGGTAGCCATTTTGAAGATAGAGGGACCCAGTTCGTGGCTTCTCTCCTATATATATATATGCATATATGTATGTATGTACGTGCGTGTATATATGTATGTATATACGTACGTATATATATGTGTACATGTATATAACTAGTGGGCGAGGAATGTAGCAGTGGAACACGGGCCGAAAAGAGGAGACGAACAGTGAACGCGAAACGAGGCTAACGCAGGGTGGCTTCTGGCTCATTGGGCAGACGTACAAATTCGTCGCGACGTATCCGTGGATTACGTGAGGGCCTGGCACACTTGGTCCCCGAACTTCGGTACCACTTCTCTCCACGAGAATGCCACGCACAGAGGGACACGTCCCCGCTCTTATCTTCGACATCGGCCTGGAGCTTCCTTCTTAACGGCTGACCGGACACGAGCTACGCGCGCGTACGCGATGCGCCTTGTCCAACCGTTCTTTATTCTTTCTTTCTTTCCTCTCTTGTTTCTTTATTTGTTTCCTTGGTGTGTACAGCTTTGTGCTCGTGGATAATGTTCTCCACCCGCATTACGATATATGGTTAAGATTTATAGAATTAGATTGTCATTTTGCGACTATCGGGAATGTGATAGAATTTTTAAGAAGTTTTTCCTTTCGGTTGTTTGTTTCCTGTTTAGATGAAATTTTAAGAGTTAATTCATTGGCGAATTCATTCTTTTATGATTGTTTTAAAATTTAATTGCTTTTTTTTTTTTTTTTAGATAGTCAAATCAACATGAATATTTTGGGCTGAATATTTTTTTTACTTCTGGTTTCAGATATTTGATTTTGAATCAAATCTATTATCTATCTATTAAATTGTTTAACAGAATGCAATATAATTAATGGAGAATAGAACTGAAGTACATTAAAATATATTTTCATATCTGATAATATTTCTATATTTGAAGAATAATTATATTGAATTGATCATATAAGTATTAGATTTATGCGTAAATTTAAGTACCTATGTTTAATTTATTCGATAATTCCCTCGATAATTAACGTGAGTGAAATCGATTTTGGTCATAAATGCATGTTAAATTGTCTCAATTAAAATTGTTCAAAATTGACTTGTTGTTATTACATCATCCATATCATCCTTGATCTTAATCTGTACTGGAATCGAACGTTCAAACTCTGTATATCAGGTATCAGCAATTAACATAGAAAATTTTGATGTGAAATATGCTTTACTTACGTTCATTTGGGAAATTCATCGAACTACACGGGAATGAGATTCATATGGCGCGTGTACAGGCGAATTAATTAAACGCGTATACACATTGCAGCCTGCAACTTGATGCCCCGGCCGCATATACGTATAATGTTGCGATATGTAACCAACCAATAGAGTGCAACATTGTACACCATGCCTATCCCGAGCTATAATCGGTGATCGATCGTACTATATTGGATACCTGTACACCTTGGAACAGAAATCAGGAAGAAAAACTGAAAAATTTCGGTTTTTTTTTTTAATGATCAATGACACATTGATTCTAATTTTAATCATATCATATCGTTTATTTAGAATAAAATAATTTTGCAAATAAAAAAGCGTTTTCCTCTTCATTGTTTTAAATCTTTTGATAACAGAAAGATTTAGATATTCATAGAACAAGAATAATTTGAAAATTGAAAAAATAAATATAAAAAAATTGATGATATTTAAAAAAAAAACGATGAATCTTGCAATCGTTGTAATTGTTGCAAAATTAAATATAAAAGTTAAATAAATAAGTAAAAAAAAAAAAAAAATCAATTACACAAGTAATTTATAGATATTAAGATAGAATAACACGGGGGGGTCGATTGGTCTCGAGATAACGAAACGATGAATGCAAAAGTTACTTTGTGCCAGGATCGGCTTCTGAAAAAACCGGGTCGTCGATATGTAATTTGACGGAAGGATAATGCGATGTTAATAGAATGGAATATTGGCCATCTCTATAAATCATGGTTAATTTGGCACAGCTATTCGTTCTTAGCAAGCTTCCATTTCTTAACTCCAATCTTCTTTCCTTCTTTATCATCATTGACTTTCTTTATTTTTTTTATCCATTGATCCTTCCACTCCTGATCGTGTATGGCTCCTGCCGGTTGAAGAAAGATCATAAAACGAAACCCTCTTGGATGACCCTGGGACCCTCGCTTCTCGCTCTAAATTGTACTTCTATTCTTGTTCTCCTCTTGCAACTTGCGAGAGAATCATCTTTTTACCACATGCTCGGCCGTTACTTTTTTCCCGTAGATCATTTAGGGGCAGTATCTGATGACGAAAATGGTATTTAGATTGATTTTGAAATTTATTTGTGGAACATGTGATTTTTTATATATCTATAATTATCTTAAAAAAATAATCTTTCACTTTCTATTTTTTTGATTTTTTGGTAATGTTGGACATTGATAATGTTTGGAAACTCAAATTCAAATTCAATAATTTTAGTTTAGTTTAATTTTTGTTATTAAAATATTTATATTTATTAATGTAATGCAATTAAGGTTCAGTTATTTATAATCTGATATTTGCAATTTATTTTATTTTTATTTTATAATGTATAGAATAAATGTGCATTCATTTAGTTGCAATATCTTTCTATCTAATTAAATGTGCAGACGTTAGTTCTTCGTCAAAGCTATTAGTTCCGCTGCTGGGTCAGAATTGCTTTCTCATCGAACACGACAGGTGGACAGGCTCCATTGGCTCATAATCGATCGTTAGCAAAATAACAGTAACTATGATCAATTTGAACGATGAATTTGATCTTTTAAATTTCCATTATTCAAATTATAATTGAATAATATTCTTCCAATTAATATTACGATTAAGCTCAATGAACATTTTCTATTTCTATTTTTTTATAATCATGAAGAAATTAAATTAAAAAAAAATGGAAGTATAAAATCATATTATAAATATTATCAAATTATAATGAAACAATACTTTCTACATTCTTATATTCAATAATTATTTTATTTTGTTTTAATTTATTATAATTATTTTTTATTAAGTTCCATTTTTAATAAAAATTTCACAAATTTTTTATTTTATATAAGAATTAAATTAAAAATATATAATGCAAAAATAATTTTTTTAAATATTTCTTTTCACTTGATTATTGAATTAGAAAAAAAATCAAAACAAATTAAATTCATTCGAATGAATTTCAAATGCTTTAATTTGATAAACATTCTACGCATTCTTCACTATTAAAGAATTATATCAAAAATATACATACCACGGAGAACGTTTTTTTAAGTATCAATTCCTGTTTGATTACTAAACATTTGAAGAAAATAGGTCACCATGAATCGAATTCTTTTGAAATTATCGACACAGCCGACTAATTCTCGTTAATGTTATCACTCTAAAATTACCCCTTTCGCTCTTGAATAGGTTGGTCATTGGGTGATTCGTTTAATTCCATTTTCGTTCGGTTGTAAACAATGATGTCACGACGGTCTGCCACCAGCTCCATGCCGGATGTTATTCTTCAATTAATGTGTGCCTTATCGCCCGTAAGATTCTTACCTCCATCACTCCCTGGAAAAAATCTTATTCAGCAAGCACGATCACGAAACGCAACACTCCTCCCCTTCTATCCCTTTACATCATAATTATATCTTCCTAAGAAAATCGCAGTTTCTTGAAAGAGTTTGAACAATTAATTGTACTCTTAATCTATTAATAAGAAAAAAAAAAAAGATAAAAATAAATTACTCACTAAGACAATCTTTGGATTTGTGAAATATGAAAATAAAATATAGGATATCTATATATTTTACTTATAAATTAATATTTCTATATGTTCCTAATATAAAATTGAAAATTTTTACTGCCAAAAAATTCAACTTTGTATTAGAAGAATTCAACAGGAGATAACACGCGAATTTTTTTCAAAAATTTTAAATCCAGAAATCTAGAAACAAAATTTCATGTTAAAAAAATATAACTTAACAAAAAAAAAATGCAAAATTTTTTAAAAAAATTTAGAAATATCATCATGAATCTTTTCCTTCTTGTTTCAATTAACAAATCGATGCATTCCAATTAATTTTTACTTGAATAATCCTTTGCTTTAGTAACATCGGAATATTTCTGTAAATGCGTTCATGTTTACTCAAATGAATCCATTGTTGTTGCATCGCTCCTCCCAACAGAAAGAAAACATTCAATCCGTTTATTCGTGCAATTTGCCATGTAAATTTGACTAAATAATGTAGCATAATTACATGGAGTTTCGAATAAAATCGGCTGATCGTTCGGCGTCCAGGCCATCTAGACATTCCGCTGATCGATCCTCGATCGGTATATGATATAGATATAGATCTTTTAGAGATCGTGCCAGATGGCCTATGGCGTATCGAGGCCATTATGGGGCTGCTCGAGAATCTGTAATGAAATCAGAAATTAAAAGGAAGACCCGTCTTTCTCGATCCTGTTCGGGATCGGCTTGAACTTTTCCAAGAATGATCGATCGATCGTCGTTACATTTGTCGGCAGTGAATCTTTTTTTTTTTTTTATCGACTATTTAACGGACGTTTAAAGTTTTCCATGTTTATCTGTGGATAAATTATAGCCCTCCATGTCGAATACAATGTATCGAAACATCTGTTATTGCGATAAATCCGCTACGTGATCTGAATGATATTTATCTCGATGCTTTTTTTTTTTCATCATATAAAATATTTACGTCCAAGCAGGAAGAATCGACGAACGATAAAATGTTTTCGCGATGTCGGTTCGGTTTTAATGAAAAACATTCGCGTGGTCGGATAAAAGTGGTGTTTACAAAAAGCAAGGATATATAACGTGGTGTGTACACCATTGAAATGAAAGTTAAGCGTCGAAATTTAAAGCGGAACCACTGATTCTTGGTGAATGAGGGAAAAGAGAGGGAGAGAGACAGGACAGGTTTTTCTCTTAACTGACGGTGAACGACGTTGCACGATCTGACGCAGCCAGACGGAACGAATTATTCTAATTCGTTCTGTATTCGGGCTGGCGCGTCTCTAGGAAACGGCCATTAGGCTTTTAGACGTGCCTAACCAGACCTAGACAATGGCTCAATTAGCGAAGGAGACCGACAACGAGCGCAATCATTCAAATGCGTCTTCGCCCTCCATTTTTTTTTTTTTACTTACTTCCACTACTTCCGTTTATGAACATAGGAAAAATGATTGTTTCTTAATATTCAATTATTATGCGATTAGATGTATAACTATAACTACTTATAAAGATTGAAAAAGAATAAATTACATGTAAAAAAAAAATACTTGCATTATATTTATACATGATTATTAATAGAAAATTTCTTTATATAATATTTATTTGTCAAATTAATATGTGGCTAGTAAGATTTTTTTTATCTGTTTGAAAAACAAATGTTATTTCGCGCGACGATAGAGCAAAAATGTTCATTGAAAATATGTATATCGATTCATAATTTTCACATGTGACATAAATTAATTATATCATTCGAATATTTTTATTACAATTAATGTAATGATTTCGAATTTGTTGCTATGTTATTAGAACAATTAGAAATTCATGATGGAACATAGTTTATATAATCGGGATAATTGGGTTTACAATTATGATTTTATATCTTGTAACAAGCATAAAAACACTGTTCTTAATATAAGGTCGATACGATGCGTAACGAACGAATCTGAAACCGTGAAATGACGCATTCGTATTAATTCTCTGCTTTAATTGTATCTGTTTAATAATGCAAAAGTTCTTTCTTTCTCTCTCTAAATTGCAGTATTAAATAGTTAATTACGATTATTATCAAGCGTCCATATCAACATGTTGTTAATACTTCAAAGTCGAGAGATCACGAGAAAAATCGTAAAAAAATCCTATTCTATTTTTATCAATAGGTTATCAATTCCATTTTATTCAATAGATTCAAATAAATAAAATTCTTTATTTTGTATCATCTACTATATCAGTATTTAATATCGCTATATTATCATTTTTTTACAATTTTTAATTTCTATATTAAAACTTTTCAAAAAATTTTTCCTTCTTATCTAATCAAAGAAAATCAAAAGTTGTTATAAAATTCTCTATGAAAATAATAATAAATAATAATAAAAATAATAATAAAAATTTCTGATTTTATTTCAACTAATTAAAAAACTATAAATATTTTTGATTTCCTATTATCTAAATATTCTTAAAATATGGAAATAAATTATGAAAAAAAAAAAAAAAATCTTTCAATGAACTCATCATTCTATTGTGGAATACACATACCCCGGCGTCAGAAGCTTGAATTTCCTATGGCGACTTTTTCCTCGTGGCGTACGAGAACGTAACATCTCACGTTTCGTGAATGGAAGGAACGGTACAAAAGAAAAAGGAGAAAGGGATGTATATGATATTCCACGATCGTTCGCGATGAACGAAACGACGCGCTCTCGACGCACTCCGGTCGATTCGTCATCGTCAACGACGACGGAGGAAGTGAACGGGTGGAGGGTTGGGGACAAGTTAAAGTATTAAGTAGCCGTCGCTGCGTCCGCTGTCAGTCTCCGCTCTAATTAATCGTAATTGACGGCCGCGCGAAGCCTCGCACATTGCTCGCAGCGTGCACCGTGTATTTCTCTCTCTTTCTCTCTTTTTTCTCTATCTTCTTCCCTCTATTTCCTTGTCTCTCCTTGTTGCGCATCGTGTCGTGCTGCATAATCGTTCCGAACCTCTTCTTCCGTTCCTCACTCAAATCTGTTCGCGAACCACAGTCCACAATGTCTATCTGATTTTTCCAGCATTTTTTATTGTTACATGTATATACTTTTGTTTGAAAGTTTTGGAATACCAAGCTTCAAATTTAGTTTGAATTCAAATTTCTTTTGTATGTAGTTTAAACTTAATCGAAAGCTAGTCTCAATTTAACTTATTCTAACTTTAGTTGAAACATAACCTATAAATCTAAATTTAATTCTTTATGTTTATTTTTCTAATTTGTAAAAATCTCTTTAAGATTAATTCTAAATTTAAATTCTCATACTAAAACTTACTTATATTTTGTAATTCTGATATTATTATAATATTATCAGATTTTTTATATATTTTTTATTTGTGATTTATTTTTTATGTTCTCATCCTTGTTGAATATTAATATGCTAGATTAAATATTGATAAACTTCAAGAAAACTATACACTAATTAGAATTTTTCCCAGTGATGGAATCAAGCAATCTACTTTTAGAAGTAGGACAAGGAACTTATGATTAAACCAGAACATGAATACTAGAAACATTGCTTCCATTACCTCGACGTCAAACTAATTTCGATGGAGATGCCGTTAATTGCTCCAAATGCAAGCTATTATAACTGGACGTCTGTGTTCGAGATTCCAACGGGCGGATGGCTGAAGATAGACCAGAATTACATAACATTGTGCCCAATTTGCATGATTAGTTCACCCATTTTTCTTCCCCGTCCGGTCGGTTCACACATGGTCCACGCGCTAGATACTGGATTCTCACGGTACGTACGCCAATTGGAGTCAACTCATCTAAATACTCGCACTGCCCACCATTTGACGAAGCACGAGGAGGCCCATTATGTAACCAACGTGGTCAATTTTGCCCTGCATTCGACAATTGTTCCTTGTTCCTAGGGTATAAGCGATTCGGAACTGCTTACATTATATATCCCTAAAATGATAAATATATATATAGTTTTTGGTAGATTATATCTATGCTGTACTAAATTAGTAGTATTTAGATATGGAATCTTTTTTTATATAAATTTAGAATAATAAAATTATTATTAAAATAGTTTATTTTATCCAAAATTATTCTTATAAGAATGATTGAAGGCTTATATTTATTTTTGAAATCCAAATTTTATCTGAATGTTATATATTATGAATCTTTTCTATGATAGAAGCAAATACAATATAATAAATAATATAATATAGGTACTACATACCATATTTCTTTTAAAAATTCTTTAACCTATAAGCACCGCAATAAAACCGCGAAATCGCATTGTGTAATCATTGGTTGTGAGAAATGTGGTTTTCAGAAGCAATCGATGTTTGATAAATAATATAAAAAATTTTTTAGTGATCGAAAAGAAATTTGAAAGATGTTGAAGAAATTATTTAATTATACACAACACAGATTACAATTACACAAATACACAAATAAAATGATCGTAAGATCTTTAATTGAAATGCATCCATAATAAAAATGAGCTCACTCTGCACATATGTTACATTAACCTAATTTAACCTCATTTAGAATCATATAAAACGAAAAGAAAATTTCGCAATATAGAAAATCGAGCAAATGAATTATCATAATGACATGCATATTTTATAATTTTGTGTGTATATATATATATATACTAAGATTTATTAAATAATAAATTTATTAAATAGTACGCACAATGATTAATCGTTCATAATCGTTCGTGTGTTTACGTAGGTTAGGAAGTAGCGATATATATCAAAAATCGAAAACCGAAAATCAAAGATCGATATATCGAATTCGCATGTTACGAATCGAAGCTTCAATGCAATGATATGGTTTTCGATTTCTGTATTGAAACATGATTCTCAGTGGGGTAGGTCAACGATGTAGTATGCGTATAATGTGTGTATGTATGTGTGAGCATATGGAAGACATACACACGTTGATATGAAAGCAGAGAATAAATGTGTAATTTGTCATAGGAAAACAACGTCTTTCAGTTGTTGCGTTGATAATTCTGAATGGATCAGTGACTAAGAGATTCTAACAAGTTCACGCGTATATTAGATTCGTAACATAAATGTCTATTTGGAAATGTTAACTCTACTTCTATTTTATCTATATTCTATAAATAATATATTGATACATGTGTATTCATAGTGTTCTCATTTATTAGATCACTTTATCGCGAATAAAGATATTAGAACGATTAAAAAGTCAATTTTCCTAATTTCGATATTGAATCTCTCCAACCATAATCATATTACAAAGTTGTCCTTTCCACGATACCGCTTGCAACGGTGAAGCTGCGGCTGTCCGCTGCACCGCTTAATTCCTGTCTAGAATTACAAGCAGCCAACGATCAACTCCACAGTCGCTCACCTGACACTGTAACTCACATACTCTCCTATTTCTATGCAGACTAAATTTTATTCTGTTAAAATGTTCACATATTTAAAATGCTCACAATTCAATTTTTAAAACTACTTAATTTTTTAAAATTAAAATTAATAAAATAAACGAACATTTTTCAACATTTTTGCAAATTCTATATCACATCACTAACACCAATAAAATGAAAAATAGATTTTTCTTTTTCACTTAAATCATCTAACATTATTTTAAATATATGTTGCTTAATTTTAAAATTAATTCATTTTAATTAATTTTTTAAATTTTTTTTAAAAAGTTTTTTACTTTCTAATCTTTTCTTTACACTTTTAACAAAATAAATAACTATATAATACACTTTTAACAAAATAAGAAATAATTTATGTATTATAAAAAAAGTGCTAAGTTTTTTCCAATATAATCCAACATAATCTCATCAAAAAAAGAAAGAAAGAAAAAAGAAGAGAAAATAGTTATCATAACGAAATTATGTTTGCGTAGTCATCTAATCCCATAAATTTCACCCCAGGAAACTGGCGCACGCGTATCAACCCCCATAGTGTATTCTTTCTTCGTGTTTCATTGGTCGACCGACTGGCCAATCGTCTGCACGAAATTCCATGGTGTCATTGTCTGAAAGGAGGACGAGATCTTCGACATATGTTTGGTGGGCTCGAGGTAGTTGGGAATTTCTATGAAGCGTTGAATGAAATTAGGGTAGATGCGGCACATTGTATACAACGATACAGGGAATTAAGAGAATGGTCGTTTATATGTCTGACATTCAATTCTCAATCATTTGAATAAAATTAAAGTAATCCTTTATTTGAGATTCAACAATTCCAAGATAAGAATTCAAACATATATAAAACAACTTTGCAGCAATCAGTTGAACCTTAATCTAAAAATCTAATTTCATAAAAAACAATTAATGTGAATATCGTAATATTCTCATCTCTAAAATTTAAAATCTATTCTAATTTATCCCATTTAAATTATAATCAATTCTACAATAAAATTTAATACTCAAAACCACTTACATTTATACGATGAGTTGTAATTTTCCTCTATTAGATCAAACTGTTGAAACTGTTTATAGATCTGTTGACATATCGTATCAGCCAAACATAGATCGGTCCCATGGGTACTTGACGGGGGCACATTACCTCTGTCACATGTCGATCCATGGAGAAATTCGATTCATAAACGTCAAACACGTGCTATAGATTTCACTAGACGGCCATTGTATCGGTCTCTTTGTGGTGTCGGTGACAATTTCTGACTATGTCGATAATAGCGAGCCGAATGATAGAATAGATATTTCTATGACTATGAAAGATGGCGCACAACAGCAGACGTGTACTATATAGAAGTTCGAAAACGCTTCCAGCTTAACGTTCTATCTTCGATACGATCGGTAGTTACTTAGCACTTCTCTGACGCTCGTTCGATCGTTATCGTCGCTTGCGAACCGGCCCTGCCCCCCTCGTTGGCCCGTTAAATTTATTGCGGGCCCCTGCGGAAAAGAGGCTGACGGCCCATCTGCATTCCCCTTTCTTCCTCTTTCCCCCCTATCCTCCAGCACTTCTTTTCTTTCATCTCTAGTTGAAATGTGTTATACGTACGATAATTCCGGGGAAGATGGACGACGAAAACGTTTCGAATTTAAATATTTTGCGAATATGTTAGTAACTTATATAGTAATTACCGACAATCTTTTTTGACATGTGTAATTTATCATAACGCAATATATATCTTTGGAAGCAATGAAAAGTACGTGAGAATTTTAGGTTATGGTTTGTGTCTCTTTATTGTTGCAAAAATTTCTCTGCAATATCAATATTTGTATATCAATATCTATTAAGAATTCTACTTTGGTGTGAAATGAAGTACAATATAGAAATAGTAATCTAAATAGAAATACAATGTTCTTTTTAATTATATAATCCACGAAGAAATAGTGAGGATAAATAATCAATCAAAAAATTTATTATATTCGTTATTTTTATATCAAAATTATATCTCATAACATGTGATTTTGCTTCTCTCAAAAAATTTTTAATTTTACGAACTAATTCTATATCAATACAATATTTCAGGTATAACAATAATTTTTGGTGAATCTAGAATCTAGAGATTCGGGAACGACCGTTCTAAGAATTTTAAGGTTTTTGAATTTTTCATTTTTGAAGACGAGAGATTATTGCTGGACGTCGACCGTCTGGACCATTTACATTTTTACATATTAACCAAGGTTGATCATGGTTCAGGATAAAATGTTTGTGAGGTTAGGCTAAAATTGAGTAAAAAAATATTATTAAAAAACGTGATAAATATTCAAGCCAAAAAATATGAAAGACAATCGAAGAAAAATTAACTATTAATTACAATAATATAATATTATAATCATTCAATATTTGAAAATAAGACAAAATTGGAAAATTTTTATAAAAAAGGTTAGAATTAACTTAATATAATATACTTACTTGTTTTCTACCATAAAGTATCTGTCTAAATATAGAAAAACTATTTCAATAAAAGTAACAATAAATAAAATTAATTATTAATATTTTTAAAATTAAAATGATTTTTTAACAATAATATAAAAATTTTTTAATCCTAAATTTTTTTTACATTTATCAAATATAGAAAGTTAATAAGTTTAATATTTAGTATATATAAATCTTCACATTTTAATTTCTTTTTTAATTATTATCTAAGATATATGATTGGCGAAACGATCGAAAGAAAAGCAGAGACCTGTCGAGGTCCAATTATTCGCGAGATTCGGTTACGAGAAGTAACGTCACGCGTCAAGTCAGGATGGGAGAGCAGCACGAGGGGACCTAGGAGCGTCGACACCATGGAGGAGAGGGAGGATGTAAGGTGACACCTCTGGGACAGGTCTGGCTTCCCGTCAAGAGCCCGTCCGAGATAATCATATTCATAATTCGCGAGTTCGCGGAACGTGCACCCGCGTCGTGCAAGAAAAGGACATTGTGGCGAAAGGTGACAGGTTATTTTTATTTTAACCCTAGAAAAATTTACCTTATAATGTGTATCCTTTCTCTTTTTCTCTCTTTCACTCTCTGGTATTAAAATAATCGATGATAATCAATGATCATTATTATCAATCATTTTCTTTATTGAGAAAATTGTACTTACTTGTAATTATGCTTTCTCTTTTTCAGACATAGATTCTTCCTGTTTCAGGATTTGAAAAAAATTATATAAATGAATAATTGTTTCATTGGATGAAATGAAAAATTGAAAACGAATGAGAATAAAACAAATCTATATCACAAGACAAATAATTAAACATATATACAAATAATCAATTTCTAAAAATTCAGAACAAAACAAAAGTTAATCTATTTTCTATGGAATAAGAGCAAAGATATAAATAGAGAGAGATTAGAAAGAGACACGCGTGACTGTGATCCTCCGTACACGCAGTTATGGGCACGCTTAAAGGTCCCGACTGCGTGTGGGTCCGCGGATACGAGGACGTGTGGATGTCCAGGCGGGGCCCTGGCCCTGCTTGTAAC